GTAGCTACAGTGAAGTAAAAGTAGATGGGATAAAAGGGAAAATAAACCAGAAAAGTAAGAGGGGGTAAAGGGTGAAGAAATAAAGAGGAGGCAGTTAGGGGTAAGAAAAACAACTGTTTGGGGGATAGAGGGGTAGTGAGAGTTAGGCAATGGGGCCCGGAAGTGTAGGGTAGGTTTAAGAAGTAGCGTAGTGTGTTCAAGCAGAAGTTTTGGTCCCAGGAAAAATGGGTGCTGGGGGAAGAAATGTTGGTGGAATGATGATGTAAAGAGATTTAGAAAGGGGGAAAAAAAAAGTTAGTATAGAGAGGTTTTTCAAAGTAGAATGATACAAGGAAGGAAATTTATTGGAAAAAAAGAGAGGTTTAAGAGTGGTAAAGAAATGTAAAAAGGAGCAATGAGGAGTGGGGCAAGATTACAAAAAATTTTGTTGAAAATAAGAAAAAGTTTGGGAGGAGTTAACAAGTTAAGGAAAGCCTAGAGAACAAATGGATTTGTCATTAAAAATAGGAGGGAGAGTTATTTAAATGAAGAGTTAGAGGTATGGGAAAGAGGGAGGGAATATTTTAAAGGAAATTGTTAAATTTTGATGAAGATAGGGAACGTGTTTTCGAGTATAGGGCAAAGGAGAAAAATATCTTGTATGAGTGGGGGAAGAGCCGTTGTGAGTGTGGGGAGGTTTTGGGGCAGTGGGGAAGGGAAGGGGTAAGGCAGCTGGGATTGAGGGGATAAAAGATAGAAATGTTAAAAAGGGGGAGGGATGTAGTTTTGGAGGGGTTTGGTACTATTTTTTAAAAAAGTATGGGAGGTACCCCAAAAAACCCGCACATAAAAGAGAAAAAGTTTACGACACGTTTCGGTGTGACTTTGTCAATGGTCCAAGTCGGACAAAAAACGTGTCGTAAGCTTCTCTTTTTATGGGGGGTTTATTTGTGTATCTTTCCCAGTCACAGTATTGTCCCTTTTCTGTTTTTAGGAAAGGGAAAAGGTACCTGGGGATTGGCAGAGAGCATCATAGTTCCTTTGTATAAAGGCAAGGGGATTAAAGAGGCAAAAAAATTTGGGGGGGAAAAAGTCTTTTGAGTATCCCTGGTAAGTGTATGGTAGAGTAATTAGAAAAAATTAAGATTAAAAGAGAGTAGGATAGCGATAAACAAGGGGGTTTGGGAAAAGGTAGGGGTTGTAACCAGTGTTTAAGTGAAACTTTAAAAGGTAAAACAGTTTTAGAAAAGGGAAAAAAGGGTTTTTGGGGGCATTTTGGATTTAGAAAAGCATAAAAAGGTGGATAGGGGGAAAGTGGCAGATTTGCAGGTGTATGGTATAGGGGGTAGGGGGCACTGAAAGCAGTGAAGAGTTTTTTTCGAGATAGTGGGGTCAGGTTAGAGTATGTATTAGAGAGGGGACTTTCCCCGTAAAAAAAATAAGCCCTTTAAAAGGGTGTGTGATGTCACCCTGGGTTGTTCAATACATTTACAGATAAGGGGGAAGAAAATGAATTGGGGGTTGGGGAAAGGTTTTGGAGTTAAAAAAATAAAAATTTAAACCACAAAATGGGAGTTGTCACAGTTGCTTTTGCTGATGACATGGCTTTTTTTGGGGGATTTTTGAAGAGAAGTTTCGAGGTTGGTGGGTGAATTTTGGGGTAGGGGATGTAAAAAAAGAAAATTAAAAGTGAATAAGGGAAAAAGAAGGTTTTAGGGTTACAAAAAAATTAGGAGACGAAAGACTGGATATCAATTGGAGGAAGAGAGTATAATGAATTATAATATTGAGTGGACATTCAAAAGATGGGTCTATAAGGATAAGGTGAATCACAGAATTGTGAGGGGAAAAAAAGGGGGAGGGTGCACTTAGGAAACGTGGAGACAAAAATTTGTCCGTGGAAAACACAAGGGAAATGATGAGAAAATAGTTTTACCCAAAACTTGAGGGGTTAAGCATAGGTAGAATGTTGCAAAAGAGGAGAAGGGTGAAGGGAGTGGAGATGTCAGTCAGGGCATGTGTGGTGTGAATATAAAGCAGAGAATTCGTATTTTGGAAATTTGGAGAAGGTGTGGGGATTATCCAAAGCTATTATCGCAGATGGCTGAGGAGGGGTTGTGAGATGGTTTGACATGAGAAGAATGGGAACAAAACAGAATACTTCGAGAGTATAAATTGTAGTGGAGGTGAAGGCGGGGTAGGTGGTCGGCCTAGGAAATTTGCGAAGGGAGGGGGTAAAGAGGTTTTTTGTGTGCGAGGCTAGAACTTATCCTAGCAAGCGTGAGACATGCAAGACGGTTATTTGATAGGAGTGCAAATGAGACAAATGGTTTTTTAATAAGCAAAGTAACATTTAGAGAAGGGATTCAGAGAAACCGCACGGACAGAAGTTCCTGGCGATGGAGAAGTACAGAGACTAACACTTTTCCTGAATGAGGGGTGTTAATGTTGCAAGTTATTTATAACGAAGTGTAAAGCACCCTCTTGGCAAGACAGATGATGGAGTGAATGTGAAAGTTTCTTTTTCAGTGCCACCCAGCCCGTGGTGGGCATCGTGGCCGATGTGTTCTAATAAAGAAAATAAAAAATAAAAAAAATAAATCTGATACACTACAAAATGTAAAGAGATGTTAAAACTGTATTTATATAGTTGTAAATGTACTTACACACTTGGGGGAGCAGAGATGTGGTGGGGGAGTTTGACCCTGCAGACGAATGATGTCAGTGGCCATTGTAGAACTGCCAACAACATTGTTTTTTGTTTTGACATCGCTAGAACTTAACTGATACACTGTTAAATCACGGAAACATACTGAGATACAGGCTTTATAAATTCTATATATCATAGATGTAACTAAGCTGGTATTCACCTGCTTAAGTCCATGGAAATCAATCTTTTCTTCTCAGAGCACATGACCATTGCACTTACTTTCTAAGGAACAATGGTTTAGAAAAAAGAAATTGGATGCGCCAAATGACGTAGCAAAAAATGAAAAAAAAATCAACGCAAGGCATGAGAGAAACCTAGCTTCCCGACAGCTATGTAAATCCACGTACTCCTTACCTGATGTATTTTTTGGCATACGTGGCCAAACTAGCAGCAGCATTACAGTAATTATTATTACCTAAGTACAGTGACCCCCAGTATTATGATAAATCATCCGGTTTTACGATGCCATTTTAAACCGCAAAAAATTTTCCGTCGGGTATTCGAGTACGATTCCTACGAGACCGGTCCACGTGTGGCCTGAACTGCCCCCGTGATGGTGCTAGGTGTCTTAACAAGCCAGCCAGTAGTGCGCGCATCTAAGGATACAATCGGTACATTCACATTTTATCACTGTGGTTTGTGTGCTTGTATTCTATTATCTCAAAATCTAAGATCACCCTCCTCCCAAGAAAGCTTCAGCAGTGGGATGGCCGTGTAACCTTCGAGAAAAAAAAAAGGGTATCGCTAATACTTATGAACTGAAGAAAGATAAATTGCAAAGTACGAAAAGTGGAGTGCGTGTGCGAAGCTGGGTCCAGGTTGTATAATAAACTCCCAATTCAAACCATCTCTACTAAATAGTGACCCAGGAAAAACGGCAAATACAAGTATGCAGTACTTGCAAAAGGTCAACTGTTAATTAACGAAACAGCGAGACCGCGCTAAAGTGTTTAGAAAAATGTTAAGGAGATTGTTTATATTGGTGTGGGATAAATGAAAAACAGATAGCAGGAGATAGCATCTCTCCAAGTTCGATCCTTTGCGAGTGAAAAGGCTAGGAGTCGCCATGATGATTTGGTAAAGAAAATTGCCTGCCAACTTAGTGGTGATGTGATATTGAATTTAAGGCCAGCAAAGTTTGGGAGTTGTGCGAAGCGATTTATAGAATCGTAGTTGTAGTGGCATACATAGTGTGATTAAGGGCATGGTTGAGCGGCTGCCATTATAGTTGTGCGAGAACAGAAGAGTACCAGTGACTCTGAGCTGGTCCTAGTGGACATATAAAAGTAGAAGGGAAGTAACCCCGGAAAAGGAAGGACTATGCTACCGACCCATTCCTATATGGAAGGGAATTCCCTTCAAAACAACTAACACCATCGCCCCCTCATCCTCCCATCCCATCCATCATCACCAGATCTTCATTAAAGGTCAACGTGTCAATAGCTTTTTATTGATATTGTGATTATTCTAATGCATTAAACTTAATATTTCATGTAGTAAAATTTTTTCCTCTTCAAACTATTGGGTGTCTTGCAACGGATTAATTTGATCTTCCAATTATTTCTTATGAGGAAATTGATTACGGTTTATCGTTTATCGGTATACGATGAGCTCTCAGGAACGAGATTAATTATCGAATATTGGGGAGATCCACTGTAATTGTGTATTTTATGTATAATTATCATTAATATT